TAGATAGATAGATAGATAGATAGATAGATAGATAGATAGATAGATAGGATGAGAGAGAGGGAGAGGGAGAGGGAAAGAGAGAGAGAGAAAGAGAGAGAGAGGAGAGTGCAGTGATATGAGGGAATTGTGCAGAAATCCTTGTTACTGGTATGCATATGTGTGTTGTTGACTCATGTGGTATGGGTTGAATATTAAAAAGATGAATGTTAGGAAAACACCAGGATACTCCTAATTAATAACAATTTGTTAAAATGGACCCTAAACTTAACAGTATATGATGACTGAGGTTTCCTCTGGCCCAGGGATTCCCAAACTCTTTACCTCAGAGATCTCCATGAAGTTTCAGATTGTTCCTCAACCCCCAAACATTTACTATCTGAAATTAATGTAATAAATACTAGTTTAATTAATGGTACTATACATAATAATAACAACAACAATGGCTAGCCCCATCAGTCTGGGGGAGGGGGCAGCAGGGGTTGATATTGACCACTTTGGAGAATCTTGCTTTAGCCAATCATTTTGGGGAAGCCTGTAGAGATTCTCAGTCATCCAATTCATGGTTCTCCTGAAGATGCTTTTTTAGGAGGCAACTGGACTTTCTTCTTGTTTTTTCTTTTCTTTTCACTGAGAAGACATTTCACTTCTCAGCCAAGAAGCTTCTTCCGCTCTGACTGGATGGTAGGGAATGGAAGGATTTATACTCCTTGCAGATAGCTGGTCATTTGCACTCTTTTAGCAAGTAATTAAGGTCACCTGAGGTTTATCTGTGTCATCAGGGTCGCCTGAATGGTGCAAATGGGTGTGGAGCCTTCTTGGAACTGTTGAAAGGACGGTGTTGTAGATTGGAGATAGAATTCCGAGAAGGCTGCACGCCCATTTGCACCACCCAGGTGACCCTGATGACACAGATAAACCTCCAAGTGACCTTAATGACTGGCTAAAAGAATGCAAGTGACCAGCTGTCTGCAAGGAGTATAAATCCTTCCATTCCCCACCATCCAGTCAGAGCTGAAGAAGCTTCTTGGATGAGAAGTGAAACGTCTTCAAAGAAAAAACAATCAGTACAGTTGAAAAAGCACCTTTGGGATATGCAGATATTGGTAGGTGTTTCAGCCAATGGGAAAATAGTTTCCAGTATCCCAATTTGTAAAACAGCATTTTTGTCATTTTCTTTGAATTGTAGGATTTGCATTGCAACCAAAGACTCATGCCCAGAATCTCTTATTTCAGCCAACAGGCAAGAATGGCTCCTCTGGCCCAGGAGATTCAGTGCATTTTTGCAGGCATGTAGATAATGTTAAGCAGTCATCCCAGGGTGATGGTTTGGGGAGGGGCTGCTGTGGTTTTCAAAAATGTTTTGCAGCTGGAGCCTATGATGTATGTGTGGGCAGAGCTCTCTAACAGCCAGCAACTGATGCTGAAATTAACCGTGACACAGATCATTTCAACCCAAGGTTTAGCTGAGCTGCAAAATAAGCAGCCACATCAGGATGCTGCCAAGTAGGAAAACTAACAATCCTTTCCATATATAGGTATCATTCCTAACCATCATGTCACCCAAATATGCTTTCTGATGTCACACACAAGCACCCCCATTTTATATTGTGTGAGATAGATGGCAAACAAATATACTGTAAACAAACAAACATACTTGCATCATGTACTGCATATGTATACTGTGGAAGAATAAGTTTGCATTGCAAGGTATGTTTCATCACAAGCCCTTCTACACACACACACACACACACACACACACACACACAAACTGATGCCTATGATTCCATAGGATGAACCTGCTTTCCTAAATCTCCCATCCTTATTTTAGCTGAGGCATAACAGAATAACAGATTTGAAAGAGACCCTGGAGGTTGTCTAGTCCAGCCCCTTGATCAAGCAGTAGATCCTGTATCATTTCACACAAATGGTGGTCTCATCTCTTCTTAAAAGCTTCCAGTGGTGGAGCATCCACAACTTCTAAAGGCAAACCATTCCACTGATTAATTGTTCTGCAGGAAATTTCTCCTTAGTTTCCATCCATCGAAGCAGTCTCATCATGGTTCTGAGTAACGCTCCCAATCAATTCAAGATTCTGAGGCTTAGCTTCCTCAAAAATCCTGTTTATTGGGCACATCATATCAGCCTGATGTCAGGTCCCATAGACCCCTATCAGGACAATGCCACTCTTGTGGGGAGGGCCTGGATGAATTCCTCACATTATAACCTTTTTTCCCCTATAGTATGCCTGTCCTGGGAACGTAAGGGGGGAGGGAATGGATAGAGAGCCATTTGTTTTGTCTCAGCACCAGAGCCTCCAGCAAGCCAGCCTGGAACAACTTCTTATCATCTTCTCAGCCCTCAGTTCTCAAAACAACTTTGCACCTGTGGATTGGCTTGCCCTGCTCCGGACTGAGGGGAGGGGTTTCTATCTCTTATGCGATGGAGTCCTCAGATTCTGCCATCTTTGTCTTGCTATCACTTTCTTTCAATAAAAGTTTCCTTTTGAAATAATGCCCGTTTCAACAATTCTGCTTTCTTGAGTAGCAGAGGAGAGGCAAGTCCTTATGCATGGCCAAATGTGAAACCAACGCTGAATAATTCCTGCATTTTTGGTATAATTAAAGAATAGATACTGCCCCATTCCCCCTTGTGTCACAGTTCACTGTTAGTCAAACAAGCCTTTGATGAACTTCTCAGCACTCCCTCCTGCCGTTGCTAGGGCACGTTGATCTGGCCTTGGTTCTCAGGAGTGTTATCATTGTTATGTCTAGCACATTCTACATTCCATGTCTCACTCCCCCACCCCCATAAGTATGGCAACTAAGAAACGAAGCAAAAAAATATGGCTTTAGCAAGAATTGTTTCGAGAGTTGACACTCTTTAGTATTGGAACAATACTATCATATCACTCCTAGTCCTTCTTTTCATTAGACATATCAAATTCCTGCAACCATTCTTCATATGTTTTAGCCTCTAATCCTCTTTGTTGCTCTGAACTCTTTTCAGAGTCTTGACATCTTTTTTATATTGTGGAGACCAAAATTGGACACAATATTTTGAGTGTGGTCTTACCAAGAGTCTCTCCAGTCTTGTGCTTTTTAGACGAATTACAATCTGTGCTCAAGGATTACTTGGTTGATTTTGCATAAGTATTCTGCATTATTATTATTCCAACTGTGATTCCATATGGCCTGCTTCCAAATGAGGCATGTATTGCATCTGTTCTTATTTGTACTTGAAAAACCTGTCACTATGACTTCCTGTTTTTGGAAGTCTTTCTTGAGTGATAATGCTAAGAATCTTGTATCTGGAAATACCCATTTTGCTGCTGGCAGAGCAGATTTATTTCTGCCCATACAGTGTGATTTGCATTTTCTAACTGAATATGATAGTTTCAATCTGTCTCATAAAAAAATAAGCAATTAACAGCTTTTTTTTTTTTTTGCATGGGAGACCAATTTGGCAATGCCACCAGTTTCATTGCTCCAGAGAAATCTCTCTCTGCCTGGTCTAGTTAGGAGGAGGAATTATAAAGTGGCAACTTCTTTTCTTGTTATTTTCCAGATGTTTGATCAATTGTGGAGTGGTGGTTAAATGTTAAATTCCTTTCAAAATGAGAGTCAAACAAACCATAGTGAAAACAAGCACTTTCCTGACAACTGTGGCTGCAAATAAGGAAAATTCAGTACCTTTGTATATGAAGAAAATATTAAATTTCTGCACACTGTGCAATAAAAAAAATGCAGAATTGTTGTATGGAGGGAAAAATATACACTGCTTACTGTACTATAGTGCTGTGGGCTAATTCACCCAATGTACTTTGTGATAATGTTGGGTTTTGATTATGATTTATGGTTTAGTGCTGCTATTTTCCCTGGGGACCATCTAGTTCAGAATTTTTCAACTAGTTCCTTATATTTGGACTTTAGTTTCAAGAATTTTCTGTCCTGGATGGAACTTTGCCAATTAGACCATAATGGCTGTGTTTAACTAGAGAATTTATGAAATTGAGATACTTGGAGGGTTCTAAAGGGTGTGTGTGTGTGTCTGTGCGTCTGTGAGTGTGGGTGTGAATGTGTGTGTCTGATAGAGTGCCACACAAGCCCAGCCAATTATGATATATCCCATAGGTCATGTTAAATAAATTATTTACTTGAAATGTCATCCCAGCCAGTTTCAGATTAGTAGTTTCATATACAGGTAGTTCCTAG